CTACAAAGCAAAGATTGTAAGAAGGAAAAATATAATAGTATTACGTACAAATCACACAAGTTTTTCATTCTAAATACTGAGTCATATTATTATTATTATGAACTAAATATAAAACTATGCTAAATTATTGAGCTTAAAACTACAAATTTAAATTCAAAAGAATATAAAAAATCACAAACTCTTTCAGTTCAAAGTCCTAAGTCTATTTCATGTAAAGACTTGGCACTCGCCACTCGGTAACTCTTAACCCTAACAATCGTGGATCAACTTCTTTCCTAAAAAATATACCTATTTTGAGTTAATTTTTCAATATAATGATTAATATAAACAGATACACCATGCAGCATAAAAAAAAATAAAAGTCATGTACATCCCATGCAGTTTTTTCCAGAAGCAACTTTTCTAATGCTTATAGAAAAACCCTATTGGCCAATACTAAATACAACCTCTACATAAAATGGCAGTTACTATAATAAGCACCACCCACATCATATTGTAAAATCCAGAGAATAACGTTTCATCACATGCTTTCCTTATCATCCTATGATTTGTCAAGTGGGAGATGCAGCAATTGGAATAATTGGTACTGAAATTGACACTTTCGACTAGGATTGGCTAAAACTTTTACAACTGAGGTTTAACACGCCCAGATGACGTTTTATAAAGAAAACAGACTAGAAAAAGGTTTAGATACCAATCATAGATGTCAGGACCAGTGCTGAGGTGAAAGGAAATATCTTAAAAAAATTTTTGAAAAAAGCATTTCTTCTTGGAGGGCGCTTATTTACAGTCTAAAACGTGTATTAGGAATTTTTTTCATTAAATTCCTCTTTAAACTTCATTAAATAATACAATTTTGTGCAAATAATTGAATGTTATGCTACTATTTATAAAAACAAAATCAGAAATCCATTAAAACATAAGTTCTCTATCATTTTTTCAATTCACAAATGATTTTGCCCTCACACTTGCATTGCCTACTAAGAAAGTTAGTAGCTGGTAGTCATCGGGTTAATATCCAAAGTGGGATTTTTTTAATTAATTTTTTTTCTTTACATTGAAGAAGTCTTTTACTTTATCTTAGTTTCACAGTCTCTTATTTTTTCCTCACACTCAAATTTTTTACATCAAACATTTTTGTTTGATATATATTTCTACAATGAATTCTGAGGTTACCACTTTGGGTATCATACTTCCTACTAGTAATATTTCACACGCTGTAGGGAAGGGAAACCTGTTGTTGGATTTATCTGTGATTATCTACCATGAGATTGGTCATTATAATGGTCAACCTCCTTTTCCTGAATTTGCCCCATTTCCTACTGAACAAGCCAAATCTGTTTGGGCCTATGAAGATTTTGTTAGCCTTTTTCCACCACTAGATTTTGCCATGTCTTTCTGTGCCCCACCTGCCGAATCAGCTAGGCCTAATACAGCATTTTTAGACATGATTTCTCAGGTATATGAGGTTTTATCCATTTTCCTGATTTCCTTTGATCCTCGTCCTTCTTTGTTGCCCGATAGTTCCTCCTCTCCAAATTTAGTTTTCTCACCATCCCCAGATATTAGGGTTCATGCTGAGCAATTTGCTTCACAATTGGTTGAGGGTGCCAGCATGCCATGCCTTCCATAAGCTACAGATCAGTTTGCATTAGTTTATCAACAGGCTGACTCTCCGTTTCTCGACTCTCAATAGTTGGGGGTATATTTTACCTGTGTGGAGAGTGGTCCCTGATTTTCGTGCACATTTAACTCATGCCCAGTTTTAATGCCTTTGTCTTACCCTTACTTCTCTTCTTTGGTATTTATCTACTATCCATCTCCTTTCCGAGGCAATCCACCAAGACCTTGAAGGTTTTTCAAGGGAAAACCTCTCCCTTATTACCTACAGGTTGTCTCTTTTGTCATCTTCAGCTCTTGCTTTACACACATGTTTTCTCTGTTGTTGGGATCTTCTGGATCGAGATGCAGCCTTTTCTCAGGTTCATTTGCCACCTCCTTAGCTTAGGGTGTACATATGGCCCCTTTTCTTCACGAGTATGTTTTCAATCATGTACACAAGACTTTGGAATTGTGTGTGGAGTCTGTGCATCAACACTCTACCCTTTCCTCTTTGATAACATGTTTGTTGCAGTCGAAGCCAAGACAAGCCCCCTATTCCTGTTTCCCATCCTAGTCCTTCTTGGCCCTTACCTGTTCCACCTTCCAGAGGTTTCTCATTTCATTGTTTTATTCGACATAGATGGGCATGTTGCCAACAGATGGCTGGGTTTTGGATTGTAGTCGACTTGCAGGTGGTATGATCCTCTATCCTACCCCCACATGTATGTTGGTACCCAGTGGCAGTATTTTGAATTGTAGTTGATTTTATGACAGCATGATCTTCACCCACCCACCCACCCCTGTTTGAATGTAGTTGACTTTCCGTGTATGGTCCGTTGCACCCTAGCACTCTACACCTTTTAATTTTACCCGCTTTCATATTTTCTGGGATAGAGTTTCATAAATATTTTATGGTTTGGATCACTGTCCGGCCTTAGTTCTCTTCCACTTGAATGTGCTCTTTTGTTTTTCTGACTATGTGTGGAACATCTTTGTATGATGGGCAAAGCATATACCTAGTTCAGAAGTGGCGTGGTCTCCCACATCAGATCTTAAAATATGACTGTCACAAGTTAGGGAGTGTTCTTTGCATGCTTTCAAAAGATGCTTATTTCTTTCTCTTGCACAGGTCCCTCCGCCTATTCAGTGTGGGATTCTAGCTATTTATGCAAGAATAGGTAATGTACTGTATCAGAAGTTATAATTTTCCTGTATTGAAAATGTATTTCCAATAGATACTTACCTTGTCTCATGCTTCCCACCCTTCCTCCCCACTGAAAACTGGTGCTTCCTTCTTATGCCAAAACTCGACGTGATAAATTGGTAGAATTGAATAAAGGGAGTCATACGTGTCCAGAGTGTATGTTGCATTCTTATTGGTGAAGGGTTGTTGCATGAGAGATGCATTGGAATCAGTCAATTCCAATTGAGAGGGGATAAAAGGCTTGTGGCATACGTAAAAAAAAAAGTACATATAGAGTGCAGCACTGAACGAGAATAGCTATTTATGTGAGAGGAAGTAAGTACCTATTGAAAATACATTTTCTCTACAGGAAAATTATAATTTTTTAGCTTATTAGAAGAAGTCTGCTGCTACTTTGATTCATTAAGTGTACCTGGGTCATAGGGTGTCATATCTTTGTATTAAATTGATTTCATGAGCCTACATGTTTTTCTAACTTCATAAGTGACACCAGCAAAATGTTTCTTTCATAAGAGCTTTTCCTTTGTAAAGGTGAATGTGTAGCTTCAAGCATAAAATTTAGGTTTATCTTAATTTATGGTCATTAAAAATGTATATTACAGTTTGTAAGTTTTTATTTCATATGAAGTTTGACTTAATTGTATTTTTGTTTTAATATGTCCTCTCTTCCACTAGTAAAGGAAGTTACAAATTGTTCATATGGGAGCCAAATATGAAAATATCAACACATTTTTATTAATAGAAGATCAGAAAAATTAGAATATTTACTCATTAATAATAGTTTTAGGATAACATTAGATATAATGAATGAAAGAAATTCTGGTTTGAAAGTTCAAACAGACTCCTCTTTTGTCATATATGGATAGTGTACTTTCAACATTTGATTGGTCAGTAAAGTATAAATATATCAGTGGCCCATCCATCTCTTTTGCCTGCTATAGCAGAACACAAATTCTGCCTGAAAATGTAGTAGGTTCTTCATGATAGAGTTGGGCAAAAAGAAAATGTGCTTTTCACATGTTAAAGGTAGCATAATACTCTTGTTTTTGAACATAAACAATTTCTGAAAACTGGCTTATTTTGCACATTTAGCTGTGAAATTTACTTCATGAAGTTTGTGTAGAAGTACTATCATTAAAAAAATGTGAAAGAGTGTAATTAGAATTCAAAACTTGGTTTTCACTGAGGAGGTTCATTTTTAAAATTGACATTTAGTTTACCTGTTCTAAAAAATGTATTAGCCATGTGAGAGTTTTTTGTAATTATAGTCTACACTTCTAAGAATGTTTTCAAATTTTTTGACCAAAAATCAAACCAAGTTAATTCTTTTTATTACATATACAGTTGCTAAAGTCTCTGTTTGGCACAAACCTGGCAGCCTTGTGGGAAGGGTCACAGCAGCCAAATACAACAAGCTGCAAACCTGGTCGTGCGGCTCGACTCAGCACTGCTGTTCATCCTGGACTTTATCATAGCTGTTTCACTGTACCTTACACTGAATTTACACAGTCTTTGGCCAGTAGTAGTGCTAAGCCTACTCTTTTAACTGGTGATGGAGAACAGCTAGGAAGGTAATACTCCAATAAAAATGTATATGTTATGTCGGAAAACATTTTGAAAATTTGTCTGTGATCAAATTTGTAAATTACTCCGTTATCAGTGACTGACAAGGTTATTGTAAAGCTGAAGTACTGATAAGATTATCAGAAAATATTGTTTTGAAACTGACAAGAGTTATTAACAGTATGAAACATTTGGGATGATTGGTTTTAAGTAGATTAATATGTTTTTAATTGATATGGGATAAACGTGGAAACCTATGCTGAAATCTCATATAATAAGAGATGATAAAGGCTACCTTGAAAAATATAACAAATAAGAAAAAACAAAGAATTTAATAGTTCTAATAAAGATTACTGAAATCTTGTTTATTACTTAGTCATAAAAACATCACCAAACTAAAAACTAATTAAAGAAAACTGGGAAGATATTGGTTCATGTGAAGTGTATTTAATTTGTTTTGTATTAAAATGGGAAGTGAAACTAGCATTAAAGAGAAAGTGTGAAGTTGTTGATTTCTGTAACACTGTTTGGAAGTCAACATTGAGTGATATTAAAAATATGTGATGTAAGAAAACTAGTGATAAGGAGAAGGATGAATTTATTAGTTCTTATATAAATAACATAGAAGTTTCCTATAATAACTAGTAATTAAAACATTCAGTCAAAGTAAAAGATGTGATAAGGATAGGGAGGCAATTGACTCATGTAAAATTAACTTTGTAATCTCCTGTATTAATTAATGATAAAAGCAAAAAACTAGTGATACTGAGTATTATATAAAAACTTAATATTAATATGTCAGGTGCAGGCTAAATGAATAAAATGTAAAGGTAACTATGAAATATTTCTGAAATGATACTAGAGATATGATTTGAAAGTAAAATTTTTATAGATAGTCTATAATTGTACTTTATTAGCTTGTAAGAGTTATATGCTTAAAAAGTAAAACTAGAGAAAACATGGAGTTGGAAGGCTGTAGTTTTCTGTAAAAACAACTTTATAACTTTCTATATAAAGTATTGTGGAAAGTAAAAAACTGGAAATCTACACAGCCTACCAATTAGTAAATAGACACCACCTGAGAAAGCAAATCAACTGTCTCCATTATCTTATGTACAAATAATGCCTCAACATATAAATACACACATAGTTTGATAAAGACCATAGGATACAAACAGTCATGTCACAATTAAGAAATTTCTTGAATTAACTGGATTTTCATAAGGTTGCATAGTTTGGCAGAGGGAGGATAGTCAAAGTCAGTAAGAAAATGCAATTTCACTTATATTACTTTTGCCACATGGAATAGGGTGACAATGTAATTCAAGTCACCTTAGAAACCAACAGTTCAATCCTAGTTTTCGGTGCCCAAAACTATAGAACAGGCTCTTCAGGCTGTGAGAGAAATGTAGAGGATGACCCACACCAAATGGTTAATACTATTGCAGGATAGTTCCATATGTGCCCCATTACCATCAAAGTTATTTCATAATGTAGGGTATAATGGCAGAGTAGCTATTCTGAAGACACTCCTTGCTTCATAAAATATTGTACATCAACAGTAATTGGCATCACAGTTGCTGTCACACCCTTCACTCTTTTGAGAGATTATAATATTTCTAACTAGCCCAGATATCCTCAGTTCCAAAAGAATGGACACATTTGGTTTTAGCAACCATCTTCCTAGGAACTTTCATTGAACTGCATGCAAGCCATGACAAAATACAAAAGTGTTGCTGTTATGTAGTGAAGTGTCATTTGGGTAGCTGGATAATCACAGCTGATGATATGTGAAGGGATGGTTACTTTTACTTGATATGCCACAAGGAAGACCTTCTACCATCTATGTTATTGACCATTTTACCAGACAAGACAGAATTATGATGCAAGAAGGGGCTTTGCTCATTCAGCCTGAATCAAAAATGATGGCTTGAAGATCATGGTGTTACCACTCACTTATGACTAGTCATTGGATGTGAACCCTTAGAAGCATGTGTAGTCCATCCTACAAAAGTGTTAAACAGTCACCTCCTAATGACAATATCCAAGTTCTTTACCAGGGGTGGAGTGCAGCCCCCCACATGCCCAGACTTCAGTTCCTGTGATTTCAATGTGTAACTCGGTTTCTGACTTAAATATTATGAGGTTCAGAGTGATCCACTGAATACTAGAGGCAATATTGCACTCTATGTTTTATGTTTGTTTATTTAATAAAATGGCATTCTATCTGAAGTATGCATTTGTTTACTTAATGATAGGCTGTGTATTGTTTTCTTAGAAATCATCAGTATTAACTAAGACTGAAGATGTACAGAGAAAGTAAAACTAATAAGAAGAGAAACTTGAAAACTATTGACCTCTATAAAAATAGGTTAGATATACCCTGTGTTAATGGTTATACAGACATTTAGGGAAAGTTCAATGAGAGATATGGAGAAGCTGGGAACCAATTGGCTCCTACAGATATAATTTATAAAATATATTGTATTAAGTGGTGATTTTGACATTGTCTCCACTTTTTCACCTTTTCACCATGTCAACATCACCAGTTTTACCTTTTCACCATGTCAACATAGTGAGCAGGTAAAACTGCTAATGTGAACATGCTGGGAATGTAGAACTGGTGATGTTTACATGGTGGAAAAGTAAAACTGATACTGTAAACATGGTGGAGAAAGAAAACTGTTAATAGGAGCATGGTGAGGGAATATGATTAGTGATATGAACATGCTTGGAAAGTAAAATTTGTGGTAGGACATGGTGAGAAGGTAAAACTAATGAAGTGGACATTGTGGGTAAGTAAAACTGGTCATGTGGACATGGTGGTAAGGTAATACTGGTAATAAAGGGGTAGTTAGGAAGTAAAACTGGTTATTTGGAGGAACATGGAAAGTTATTAGCACCTTTAGAAATAATGCAGAATCCTGTATAATCAGTAGCATGTGAAATACAGTTTAAAAGAGACTGATAATAAAAATAACTGAATGACATGTGAGTGTAAACATCAATGTCATAATGATATTCAAGTTTTAAATTTTATGTAATTGTTTGACATTAAGGTAATATTATTTTGTACAAGTGTTGTTTTTGTACTTATTTTGATGAACATCACTTTGAATTTAATGTTATTACTTAGTAAGAGATATTTTATTAAAAAAATTAAATATTTATGTCGGTTGTATTATTTCTCTTGTCTGTTTTATAAGGTGTTTTTTTTTTATCTTAACAATCAACAAGTTATGTTTGTTTTGTTTTCAATAAAGTTGGTTAAGCTGGATGAGGAAAAGAAGTGAAAGAAAACTGACCTCTTTGCTGAAATCAGGGTCTAGAGGCGAGAAGGCTTCACTCAGCTCTCACATAAGACTGTTTGAACCATTGGTTATAAGGGTATTTGTTTCATTCCTTTGTATTTTTTAGTTACACATATATATATTTATTTTTATTTTTCTGGTATTTATGGTCTAGAAGCTAAAGGTAGTGTGGAATAATTTTTTGATTTTTTATCAAACAAAGCTGTTTTTAAATACTGTATATATCATATCTGTTTTATCTAGTGTGAGGTTTAAATTATTAACCTGAGATATATGTGAGCAGATTGAACTGTGTATTTGTGCATGCTGAAAGTTTAACTTAATTAACATTTGTTGTAAACTTTTAAATATGATTATGCTCTAACTGTGAATCATAGCAGAGTGGTGCGTACTGGTTTGCTCCTGTTTATCTGTCTGTCTGTTCATCCAAATCTCGTGGACAAGATATTTCAAGATTGGGGAGATGTATTTTGACCAAACTTACACAATAGCTAACTACATACAAGTTCTAGACCTGGTTAATTTTGAAGGTCATGGGTCAAAGGTCAAAAGGTTATTGGTACATAGAAAAGAATAGTACAGATCTTTTTTTCTAGTTCAAAAGTCTTGATTTATGTAAGGATTATTCCCATATTGATTATTAATGATCTACTCATTAGCTTTAGTGCAAGTTAACTAATTTACACTATGCATTGTGCTCATCAGCTGGTGTTTCAATAAGAAATGGATCATTTCTTTATACTTTTATCTTAAATATTAAGCTTTAATTTATTGATTTTTTAAATTTCTGTCTCATTTATTTGAATTGTCTATTTATTTGGAAATTTCATCCCAGATGTAGTCTTTCTTATGTTAATGTAGCATGTAATTGTTTCTTGTATCAACCAATTATTCATCTTTTATGCTAATGGTTATGAAGAGTTAAAAGTTCATACTACAGATACCAAGTGATGATTTCTCCATTTTTCTATGAAGTCAGTTTCATTACTGTTATAAGTTATAATTTTGAAAATGGTTTTGAACGTTTTTAATTAATTATCAGTGTTTATCATTAGATTAGTATGTGAAAGCAATTCTAGAATAAGTGTTCTGTTAGATATACATGACTGTTTCCATTTAAATATAGTGCAAGGGTTAAATTTAGTTATTTTTAGAAGTGATAGTTTATCGCAGGTTTGTTTACACAACTGTGTGTGTGAAGGATACACTGTAGAGTTCAGTTGTTGTGAATTGGTGCTTATATTATTGCATCGTGTTACTAGAACCTTTTAAGATTTTTTCACTGGTTTGATCAAGTGTTATTACCTCATATTATTTCATAGTGTTAGAAGGTTCTAAGCCTCAGTCAGGCTATAAATATGCATACAAAATGTAGTTCATGTAAGTTAGACAAAAATAGACGGTTAGTTCAGGTACATACCTAGAGCTAGATTGTGTGTTTGTAAGTTTAGCCATAAAGAGTGTATAGTGGCTTTTTTTTTAAGTGAAGTTATCACAGATTATATTGTAACAACAGAGTAGAGAATAATAATATTTCTTCTCAATTGTATTCTAAAGTAACTGAAAAAACCTGTGTGGACTTTTGATGAAAAGAGACAATTATCTAAAGCTCTGGATATAACTGTGGTAACCAACAGTGTAATGTAAGTGAAATTATCACTGATTGTTTTCTAACAACAAAACAGGGGAGAATAAATCGTCTTTTCAATTGTGTTCTGAGATAATTGACCAGTCTGTGGGGCTCAGACGAAAAGAGATGGTTATTTAAAGCTCTGGATACAACTGTGATGATTAACTGTGTAACAAACATTTGTATATACATTTGACTTGTGTTAATATATTATTTTAAAACAGTTGGACTGTGTACTTTTTGTTTATTGTTCAAATTTATTGCCAAGAAGTCATAGACACCTACTGTAAAAAATCCTGCTCACTCACAGATAGAAACCTTACATTTGCGAGCCAACCACGATTATACAGTGGTAAATGTCAGTAGAAGAAAATGTGAACAACAGTGAAAATAGGCTTATATATGCACATCTCTAGTGGTGACTTGAAAATATTGTACAAATCACAACCACACCACATAACCATGTTGACTGACTTTGATAAGTGGAGAGAGAGAGAGAGATGAGTGACTTGAACTCAGAAATAGTGATCTATGAGAATTTTTAAAAGAACAAGACCTAGAGAGAGAAGAGCATCAACAGAGAAGAGAAAGAAAGGTGAGACTGAAAATGGAAAGAATAAGAGCACAAGAAGAGGAAGAGAGAGAGAGAGAATAAGAGCACAAATTGAGATTGCCAAGCTCACCCAAAAGAAAGATGAAGGACCCAAGAATGACAATGGGGTCAGGAACAACCAATCCAAGCTGCCCTAATTTACTGAACAGAAAAACGACATAAATACTTTCCTGGAGAGGTATGAAAGACTTGCTCAAAAATTTGCAGGCATGATATCAGAAGATTCCATGGACTAAAATTAAAAAATTACCCTATAGACTTAACATTTCATGAATTCAAAAGTAAGATCCAAGAATTACAAGATAAAGCTAATTGTAATTTTGGGATTCTTTGTTAAAGGTTTTATGCACTAATTATGATAACTAAAATGAATAGTAAAGAAACATTTGAACTTGTTAACCCTCTCCAGACAGGTCATGGGTCAAAGGCCA